CCGGAATCTGGGATGCAGCCAGGCCTCGTGCTGATGGAGCCAGTCAGAAGCTGTTCCAACCTGAATTGGCGGACCATGAGCAGCTTTGGCTGCTAGGCCATATGCCATACCCTAGTCAGCAACTTGCAACTCGTAGCAGCCTTACGCTAGCGTGCATCAGGTCTTCTCTGCTGAGCTTTTGCCGTCCCGTGCTGGTATCCAGACCAACAACTTCTTGATGAAAGTGCAATGAAATCCCAGACTTGTGCAGCCTTCGAAGTACCCACATGTACCCACTGTGGAGCCAACCGAAACAGGCAACGCCGCAGTCTTAATCATCCGGCCCAGCTGCGTGATCTGCTCTGTTGGTGCCTTCGCCGGGAGCCGCACCTTCAGAGTGCAGGGCACTTCAGGCTTCATGGGGCTTTGAGTTGGCGGCTGTGCCAAGCCCCTCAGATCCGCATGGATGCTGTTTCGACAGTATGAGCGTATCACGGAAAGGAAGATCTTGGAGCTGCTCTCTACATCCTCAACTCTACCCCAAAACCAAAGTCCTTCAACCCCAGTGTCAGCCTCGTCTCCGAGACCATTCTCGCGGCTGAGCTGGGCCAGGCCCTGGCCCCAGGAAGACTTATATAAGCCAGTAGAAGATAGAATAGGAGCACCGTAGGAGCAAAGACGGCAGCAGCAGTGGTGCTTGGATTAGCAGGCGCCCAGCAGCAGGAAGAATAGTGAAATGTGCGAGGGCGTATGATTATGGAGGAGTGTTTCACCGGGCAAAACTGAGAGCAAATACCCCTTCCCGCCCGACCCTCCCGGACCACAGCCCAAGCAGGATCCTGCCAGTCTCGTAGCCCGAGACCTCAAGCTTCCCTTAGTGCCATGAGACGGGATTCAACCCAGGATCCAAAGCCCTGGAACCTCTGGAACCCCCACAGAAGGCGCACCTCGTCCAAGGGATGCGCTTGCAAGCCCTCTTTCAGGACGGACACGGCCAACTCCAGGGCTTAGTTTTCTTGCTTTAGGAGGGATTCATTGATCGGAAAGCAAAAGGCTACAAAATACCATCGAAATCTGATCCGAGTATTGTGCTCGCTCGATGCTGGCATTTCTGGTTGTGCGCAAGCAGGTGTTCCAGCTTTCCTCGCTCCCGCACCTCATCCATACCCATCTCTTTGAATTCACGAAAGGAGCTGGCATAGTACTCAGCCGCCATGGCTGCAGCGTGCTGGAAAAATCAGCCTTCAAGTGTTGACGAAAATCTTACCTCGGCTGGCTCGCAAGCAAATGGCACTAACTAAGGAAGCTTGCAAAACATCTTCTGCTACTATTCAAGACCGGCAGTGGCCGGCATGCGCAACCTGCTAAAATTGCTGTTTTGCCACATACTGAAGCCGCTGGGACAGATCATCACAGTGAGTCGGTCTAGTGACCTGCTTGCTTGTCGACTCGGCCAGCTGAGTTTAAAAAAGCTGCAGAACTTCATTGAGTTGTGGCATTGCAAGGCACAAGCAGGCAGTGATTCACCAAGCGCTCGCATCGGTTGCTGAAGGATCCATTCGAAGAAAAGCGTGTGCAGGCATCATGGACTCATAGAAGCTTGGCACATTTCACTCAGCGGATGTTGCATTCGAACTTCGGCTTTGTATGGTAACCTAGTGTGCATTCATCGGCGGGTCCTATGGACTCTGTAGTGGACCGGCAAGACAGTCAAACTGATCTGAACAGGACGAGAAACAGGAAATTAGTCACACTGTTGGCCAAGACATCTGCTAAGCGGCTAACCCTAAACCGCCGCCTGGGTCTTGGTGTCTGGGGGCGTCACGAGTGTCCTCGATGTTGTCCGGTCGATCGTACGAAGCCTCCCAAGTGCTCGTCAGATCCGTGCGGACCCTCATAGACGTCGGACAACATCACATCGCCACCAAGACCACGACACAAGCAACCGCAACAGTATCAACACAACAAGAGCAGCAGCAACAGCAACAGCAACAGCAACAGCAACAGCAACAGCAACAGCAACAGCAACAACAGCTACAATAGCAACAGTAACAACAGGAGCAACAGCAAAAGCAGCTGCAGCTGCAGCAGCAACAGCAACGGAAACAGCAACTGCAACACCAAGAAGCACAAGCACCAGCAGCAGCCACAACCACGCTCCATCAAACAGGGTACAGCAGTCGTCATCGCCTTCGTCGTCACCATGTTTCGCCATCACGAAGACACCATGTCCAGCGGCAGCGTCGCCATGGTCATAGCCATTTAAATGCACATCTTCTCCTGACCGCAAATCGCCAGTCATCCATCTGTCACCCACATGGACCCACATCCACAACGTCATCCTTCGGCAATTCTAGCAGCCGCAACACCAGCAGCAACTACTGAATCATCACACGTCTGAGCACGCGAATGTCACACTATCATGCCCTTGAGATGTCCTGCCGGATCCTGAAACACACAGCTAAACGTGACGAACGGAATAAGTGCAAAAAACCATGCAGGATGCAGGATGCGCGCCACCTGAACGCCTGGCTCTGGTGTCGCATAGTGTTTGAGGGCCTGGGCCGGGCGGAGACTCTTTCTTCCCCCACTGCTTGGCAGCTGTAGTCTGGAATTGGTTGTCCATCCATGGGTTCAGGGCCAGACCAGCTGCCAAGAATCTCAGGAGCGAGGATTTCCTCGAGGTCCCGACTGCAGGCAGCGCCACAGGCTCCAAAAGGGTGGGGGCCTGAGCTCATGCGCGAAAGGGCGGGTTGCAAAGTCGATGTGCCATACACCTACATGGTATGGTGTGGTGTGGAAGAACCAGGAGGCCCAAACTACACTTACGAAAGGAAGTAGATCCTTGCCGATCTGTACTGAGGCGGCTTGAAAGGCCATGGGCTGCAGCAAGCCACATAGCACAATATAGCAAATCACATGGAAAGACATGAAGACAGAGACATGGCGCGATCTAAGGACAAGAGATAAAAGGAACAATTCAGATAATATGCGAGTGCGTACATTGTATTGTAACACAAGAAGGCTTGCACATGTTTACATATACATATATATATATATATATATACATATATATATATATAGATGTATATATATATATATATATATATATATATTATATATGTATACATATGTGTATACACGTGTGAATGCATATAATATATGTACATAGGATGAATATCTATACACACACACGACTGCACGCACACAGATTGCAGAAGCAAGAAGGCGATACGATCTAGCACCTCAGTGGCAGACCCAACCATGTGGCAGTTCTGGAATTCCTTCAAGGCTTTGTGGTTCCCAGCAGCTGAAGCACGACACAGGGGCCGTTAGCGAGGGCAGCAACTCACCCTTGGGACACAAATCAAGCCATGAGATGTATCCTCTAGAGCTTGCTACTTGTTGCAACGACAGGAAGACGTGCATCATCCCAGATTATATACCGCGTTGAGCCTCTGAGGAATGCCTGAGGCCAATGCATGATGGATAATCATCCCCGGCTGCAACACAAAAAATGCACATACCGATCCTGATGTTTCTAAGAACTCGCTGTTTCTGATAGGTCAAGGCAGGCAGTGCGAGCTCATTGACGACCACAGGTAGACTTACTGGAGAGTAACACCGACAAATCGCACTAGTCGTACCAAGCCTGAGAGGATGAAGGCAGCAACTCCACTCAGCATAGCTGCCGCTAACCCTCGAAACTGACGTGCCTCCGGAGATCATAGAGCAATGACGCTAGACCGACCTCATCTGCTTGGCAGTTCTCTTTGAGTCGGACACCCTGAACCCGAGTATTGAACCTGGCAAATCCCGAACAAACGTGGGGCTTGACAGTCTCGACAAAGCCACAGAAGGTGAGCAGGGTCTCAGACAAATCCGCAGACGTTTCTGACAAAGAGGCTGCCAGTTTTTGCACGTACTCTTTGTTTGGTATCGATGTGTGTATACATGTATGCGTGTGTATATATATATATATATATATATATATGTGTGTGTGTGTGTGTGTGTGTGTGCCGCATCCGGTTTGCTGTCATCGGCCAATGCCAAGCAATCGAACGGAGCTTGTACATCTTAGATCATCTTAGCACCGTGTCTGCAGACCTCCAGTGACATATCGCGGAGAAATTTCGAGGGCTTTGAACGCACCAGTACAAAGTCCTAAGGCTCCGATGAAACTCTCAAGCCCCAGGACTGTAAGCCTCATGCGTTGCGCCGCTTTGGAGCTTGGTTTCCGTTTCAGGCTTTCCGGCCGGGAACTTCGAATATAAGGTTAATGTTGGTTTTGGAGCCAAGGATGAATCCTAGACCCGATAACCGAAGCTCTAAACTTAAACCCTCCCGGCCAGGCACAGCGGAATGCTCTGGGCTGCTCGCCTTTCGGCTGCCGCGGTCATGCATGCCGCAACTCTGAGGCACTCAGATTGCCCAGGTAGATGCACGCCATCTGCTGACTTGCCGACAAGATGATGAGTTGAGACGTCCTACAAACTACCACAACACCTTTTATTAAAAGCTGCTCTTACCATGTTGTTGCCATATTCTGAGCTCTCTTGTGCTGCTGAGACGATGGTTGCAAGGTAAAGCCGCCCACGATGATAGCCCATGATACCTACGCACTTCTGCAAGGCTTTCTGGCACTCAGCCTCCAAGCAAAGGCCCATGTCCAGTTCAAGGTGATGGTGGGCATGTATGAGATACGCGGTCGTCGACTGGCAAACTTATAATCAGGGAACTCATGGTGCCAACTTACATGTGCGGGACACATCCAAACGGAGACTGCGTCAAAAGCAGCTTCAGAAGTCAAGCTCTAGCAGCTTTGGCACTTTCGTGCCAATCAGATTGGCAGAATGCACATGTACAACGTGGCACAAACGCTACAACAACAGAAACCCTTCTTTGGGGAGAACAGAAGACCACTGACCACCTCTCCGACAGGATCTTTCCCGCTATCGCCACAACTTCTCGAGACTGCCGTGCACTGGAACCCCTTTGCACGGCTAGGTTATACGGCGCAACTACACTTTTTCTGGCAGCCGGAAATGCAACCGCTGCAGGCCGAGATCGTTTGCGAAGCAACCGTGCGAGCCTCGAGTCGTCGTTTCGTTGTGTCGCAAACAGGGTTTGGGGGTCGTGTTTGAGGTTTTAGGACTTAACCGAGATTTTCAAAAGAACACAGCTCAGAATGATACGGAGAAGTAGAAGCGGATTAGCTACTATCGCCAAGCAAAGCGAGAAACACCGGAACGCCAACGATGCTAACCAGCATAATGACACACAACTGACCGAAGTCTGTTTCGGTCCTCTGCGCAAAAAGCGTGAACGGAATAACAGGCTGTTCCACGTTGTTTGCACCAGCGCACATGCAAGCGAATCCAACGAAGGCAATGTTCTTCAGACAAGTGACGGTTGTAGAAGCAGTTCATGTATGCCCGCGAGTCCTCTGGCTCTCGTCATGCGCCCAATACTTTGCTGCGTTTGCCCTTTGCAGCTCGACAACAACAAGATACGCTGTGGATCCCGTCGTAAGCCATTGCTTCCCAAAGGCTGCTTGGTGAGCCCGTCCTTGACCGGATGGATCCAGGCATTCCTCATCAAATCACCCAATGTGAACTCTCACCCCGGTTGCAAACGGACGCAGTGACGAGTTACTTGACAAACAGCAGATCCATCATGGCCAACAGCAACAACATCGTTAGCAGAAGCACATCACCATCAGGGCGCCGTCTTGATGACTACCATCATAGAATCATAATGATTCATCCTCAACATCATCATGACCATCGGCAGAATCAGTAGAATCATCGGCTCTGCTCGTTGCACCCGAGCCGCTGGAAGTCCCTCGCTCGCAGAAGACCGCAGACGTCGAGACCGTGGTGAGCCTCGCGAGGCTTTTTGTTGTGCAGGTTCCGGCGTTCGCAGCACATTATCGGCTATGCCAACTGTGCAAGGGCCTGTTCGATGATTTGGAGTTCCAAAGTGGTAGAAAAGCACCCACTCAGCTGAGAGGCTGGAGCGCTGTCTATCTTTGTACAAACTTATGCACGCTTTGTGGCACGACTCACTCATGAAGACCGATATGCTCTGCATGTTGTGTTGTCGGAAGACCATGCAAAGGCGTTCTACGTCTTCCCAGTAGTCATGGAAGGAAGTCTGTGTGCTTCGAGCCGGCTTCTGCTGAGAAGCGATGACAGTTGTAGCAACTGCTTAGTGCTGACCATGATCATGATGACGACGGAGGCCACCCTTGCTCGTCGCCCTCATCTTATATTACGGACTAGTGCTTCATTAGGCTCAGCGTTGATGAAATTGCTGCTCATTCTGATCCTCAGTCTCATCGAGCTCGTCGTCCGCATCCGCAACCCCCATCCTCATCTGCCTGCGCTGCTCCTCTCCTCCTGATTCGGATAGTCTCTTTACTGTTTATTGTTCCTCTGTTCCTCCTCATCGCTGTAAGGAACAGATGAATCTGTGCCAACTCTTGCATGTTCATACGCATGATACCTAGCCGCCGTCCTCATGCAGGTCCTATCGTGCTAGCCCTCCCAGTTGCAACAAGAATGCTTGCCAAAAGGCTTGACGTAGGTGCATGTGTGTCTCTCAATACGCGGATATGTGTGTATACATACGTATAGCTCACATATGCCGCAGCCATATCCTTTATGGGCTGTCTCGGAATCAGGGGTGCAGTGCTTCGTAGTCCGCATGAAAAGGACTCCACTTTTGGGGGTTGAATGGCACCTCTTCGAAGCGCCGCGCCCAGCGGCAAGCATGAAGATCCTGTGTCACGGGGCAGTCATTGCAAGCGTTAAAGCTTGTGGCCCAAGTGTTCCTCGGCTACAGAAACTGCAGCCGATGCCCGACGGACGGGGATTTACAGCCTCGTGCTGTCCTGCTTCTCATTTACTCAGTGGCCTACTAGTAGGATTTCAAGGCACTCAGCCGAAGAATTGCAGCTCTGTCCTCACTATCCTTACTTTGACTGGCACGATGCAGAAAACGTATGCATCTCGGAAACACTGGCACGACGCAGAAGTGTGCATCTCGGCAGGCATAATTATAACAGATTCTTGGCCGTACCTGCTAGCAAGCTTCTGACGGCAAACTATCAGGCAGCAGCACGTTGACAGGATCTCACTATGGTGCAAAAGGTATCGCTGGTATCGGTTGCACCCACAAATCACCAACTTCCGCTTTGGTCCATGTCGGCACGAAGTGCTCCGCAACAGTCCTCGTAGTTCATGCGATGACCCACCTCGCAATGTACACGTCGCAAGTATGCAGAATCTTGTGTCGAGACCCACAGTGTAGTCTTGTCTGTGGAGATCCCGAGGACAGTCTATGTTCAACGATTTCATGGTATCTAGGAGCGAGGCGAGGACAACTTCCAACTTCTGACCTACTGAATCTCTTACATTTGGCAAGCTCGCCACTGATTCAGCCTCAGGGTTCTGCGTCGCCACGATCCACCGCACCACATCACCTGCTCAAGGCTTTCTGCCTGTCACCTCACCTTCAGACACCGCTGCTGCCGGAAACACGCCGGAGCTTCCGTGCTCATGCCCAGGAAAACTCGCTAACAGGCTAACTCTGCGGGCACTCCTGAGAAGCCGTAGAGAGATCCGGCCCCACAAGGCTCGATCTCAACAGCACCAGGGCAGCCAGCGAGGAGGTGCCTTTCTGACCGACCAATGCTTCGTTTCAACACTTAGACTTCACCCTTGCAGAAACTGCCCTGACTGCTTGTAAACTCGGAAGCTGACAGGATAAGCAAGGGCTGCGAAGTGACCCGAACGTACAACAACAACTCCAAACATCTCGATTGATGTGGTTTCTACCTTGAACTTGGAGGATTCGCCAGGGCACGACGGCGCTCGCTCACACAGTCGACCCAAGTACAACCTGACAAGGGTCTCATGGCATCAAAACCGGCAACATCATGATCTAACCATACTCACTGTCATCGAAATATCGTCTGAAAGAAACTGGCAACAAAAGTCTGTAAAAGCCTCGGAGCTATCGTCTCGTGACTTCTTGTGACATAAGTTTAGGGATCAAGATGACAAGGTCGTCATGACCCACCATCTGCAACGCTACACTACACGTAGATCCTCGCGTCAACCAAGCGCCTTCTGATGTCACGTCGTGCAGGCGGAAGGAGGCCTTGGATATCGGTTAAGCCTTCAACCACGAAGAGCCGTTGCAAGAGGTCGCTAACCGTAGGGCATCTAATAGCTTCAGTCTTCCACACTCTTGAGGAGGTATCTTTGGGGGGAGTGGCGCCTTCGCTGCTGAAAGGACTGTGCACGCATCTCCAGCTCATGTCCTTCAATTCTTCGAAGAGCCTGCTGTCAAAATTAAACAGACTTCGTCTTGGCGAGGCCAGGAACCGAAGACGCGCCGCAGCATTCGTGGGACAGCTTCGCGCCAGTCCACCATGGTGTCCTGCAGAGCAAGGCCAACGCCCTGCAGACCGGTGGGCTGAAAGCTGAAACTCTGAGCTTCCGACGCCATCTTGGTGAAAAACTAGGTCGGCATCCGGGAAGTGTTGCACCGCCCACCTGAGATGTTCTGGGCCAGATGTTGCAGTCTGAAACGAACTAGCTGCGAGTACCACTGCATTGCCATTAGTGCGGTCTTCCTCATGTTTATGGTTCCGCGTCTCGCAGCATGCCTCGAAAGCTTCGCTCTGAAAGGCTGAGAGGTTAAAGTCCTGTCCTATGCTGGTACATGCAGTCATCCAGCGCAGGGGACACCAGATCAGGGCAATACTCATGGCTGCAAAATACCCAGGAAACTGTAAGCGAAATTCAAGCGGCGCAAAGGAAAGAAAAGACTTCTCCGAGTTCTGGCCTCAACCAGGAACACATTTCTAGGCAAAGGTTTAGGCTTTGGGATGCGGACATACGGCTCGGAAAGGTTGCAGCACGGCCCCGAAGCACCGGAAAAGATATCTGACTTTCCTGACTATCAATCTGCAGGAGTACAGAGATCGTCTCGGAACAGTTGCAAAGCCGAGCTGATCTTCCAGCAACACGGAGTGACAATGCTGATCCCTCGATCCGATAGATTCAAAAATTTCACTCGCAAACTCCAAATCTCCATCCGGCAGCCGGCAGTGATGAAATTGTCAGTCCTTAACTGGGCAGTCGAAGTTGCCAAGAGCCCACGATGCTTGCACTCTAGTTCTGCGTCATCCATGGTCCCTGATGGACAATCTGAGGCTCATGTTCAGCCGCGCCAAATCTCCGAAGGTCTCCGCCTCCCCAGGAAACAAGGCTTTTGCTGCGCGGCGGCTCATGGTTGAGAGCTTGGAGTGAAGTCAAAAGTTCTTTGAGAACAGAGAGCCCGCTGCTCCGCTCCCCCTCGTGACGGATGTCGCATGATGTCCCCAAGCCCTCATTCCTTGATTTACGGGTCATCATGAGGCGAGATAGGTTCTGAGCCGACGTTGGGTCTGCTGTCCTGATGACAAGCCGCTAAGCCCGAAACATCCGACGTGTTGCCCAAAACATACTCCAAGCCGACAAGCAGCACAGAATGCAACAAGCACTGTATAGGCCCCCATGACGGTGATGCTAAAAATGTACCTTTGGATCTCCCTCAGGCTTGTGTGGCTAGCGTCTGTACAGCACAACGTGTTTGTGCAAGTCAGCCTGCGACGTCTTTCGGGTCGTGCTGGATTTAATTCTGGCACGCGATTTCGGCCTTGCCAGCCGCAACTGTGGCGTAAAGAGGGGTTTGTGGGGGCTGTATGCCATCCAAATCACCACTCCGAATTAAATTAAATGTGGCAATAGCTTTCTTGCAGCCATGGCGGATGGAGATCTTCGTCTTGCCGACCGCAACAATGGCCCCTTTGTCACTCTCATCGAATGACGCAGTATCCAGACACCCTCACCCAATCGTTCATGGTGCACACGCATTCCGGGCCTCCACATATGTAGTGGTACCACGATCCGTGAAGGCACTCCAACTGGCATTGATAAGGTCCCTGCTCACACCCGTAATCAAGCCTGTCAAAGTCACCATATGAGCAATGGCATGCGCCCCTAGTGCACCAGTTGAGGTGGTATCCACGCCGGTCACATTCATATGGGCAATCGATATCGAAAATACCAGACTTTGTTGACCTGCTGTTGGCCAAGCTGCTATTACCGGCACGCGAAGCTTGGTTCTTACCGCCTCGCAAAGCGGATCCCTGAGTCTTCACTCCGTCATTGGCCGTGGTGAAGAGCGGTTCAGCCCTGTGGTGCTCTCACCAGTGGTCAAGCCATGCATGAACTGCTGCTGGCTGCTCATGTTCACCTTGGTCATGTTGGCCTGCGACGCTGAGGCATGCAGAGCTAAGGAGGCAAGGGTTGCGAGAAGCATGCAAGTCACAGAGTGGCACGCCATGGAAAGTCCCGGGCGATAGATCTGAGCTGACCCGAACCCTTTCTTGCCTCGTGGCTTGACAGCAGATCGCTGCAAACAGAAGCTGCAGTGGATGCAGACACTGTGATATATTCACGCCATGTGACAATAGTGGGACCAAGGCAGGGAATTAACGGAGAGTGTTTCAAGTAAGCGGTGGTAGAACTGCAGCTTCTGCCATGACCGATCTTCTTACCAGTGCTCTCCATGTTGCTATGACGGGTGTCAGTGCCAAATAAAAGGCTTCAGGGTTTTGGGTTTTGGGCTTAGGATGGTTTGAGCAATTGTTGACACCAGGCTCTTTAATAAATTGTGCTATTATGGCTACTGTTACTTATTGCTACTGTGACTGTATGCATACTCCGCTCAACTACTGCGCAAGGGAGGAAACTAGACTCATGTGGCCCGGGTGGTTGATGAACAAAACCCATCACAATGAGGGATTACAAACAATTTGCTCTGGCCGTCTTGCAAGATGGTTGGGTCGTGCTAGGCGGTTGGACCATTTCGAACTTAAACGAACGATCGCCGATTCTGCAAGTAGAGGACCATGCAAACTCAGCTGAGGCTTTCTGTATTGTTCTTCGCTGGCTGATCTGTCCCCCTTTCTCAACTCAGGACTCAATGGTTCCTAGCGCTAGCAGAGCCCAGATATGAGCTAAGATGCAGATCCCCTAATGGACGTAATAGCCCCACTCGGGATTCAACAGTTGATCAAGGCGATAATTAGCCCGATGCTTGTCAACTGATGTCTACCACCCTAGAATTGCCAGAAGCCCAAAATGCTAGACTCAGACGTTTCGCCGGAAGATATTGGAGAATCGAGAACAAGCACAGAGGCAAGATCCGACCTCGAGTTGGAGTTGGTCCATCTGTCGAGCTGGCGGGAGGCCCACCGCGAAGCGCGCGTGTATAGCCACCTCGGTCCCAGGGGGGGCCTTCAGTCGCCATAATCGGGCGATCTATCTCGTCCGGTAACCTTGAAGCTCTATGCAGAGACGATGAAATGAGTTGTTGAAGGAGACTTCGAATCAAAGTCGCAAGACTCCAGGTCTGAGCTGCATGGCCCTGCATGGCCCTGCTTGCAACTTCAACACCCCTCCCTACACCCTTGAGCGCTTCCTCGGCGAATCGGGGAACCTTACGTCGCTGGCCCTGAGGTTAAAGCACTGGCATTGTGACGAATATCCGCTCTGGTTGCAGGGAATGGCTCCTTCTGACATCAAGCCAGGATGCTGGACATCCCGCTGTGACGCCGACGGCGAGTTCCTGACACAGGACTGGTTGGGGGGCTTAAGCAACTTAGGGGAATCCGGGTGAGAGGCCACGTGCACATGGAGGTGCTTGTTTATGAGAGAAAGAGAGCATACTTTTAATGTAGATGAGAAATTTTCGGTGAACAGCAACTACAGCCGATACAACATAATGCCTTACATATATACATACGCAATCATACGCATAAACACACACATGTACATAGAGACAGAGATGCCGTTACAAGCAAGTTCATGTAGGGGCTTCTGGGCCTCGACTACTTGCTTCCGCGTGTCATTTTAACAACCTCCCTCAAAGCCTTGCTTTTTCTCTGAACCGCGAATGGATCACTGCAATGCTCTGGTCGAAAATTCTTGTATTTGCAGGTATGGAGTCCGGACAGGCCCTCCACCACAGGAACCCCAGCTATGCCCCGTCCTCTCAAGTAACCGAACTATCCAACTTCAACTGTCGTCCTGAGTAGAGAACGACAAGGCTGAAAAGCTGTGAGGCCAAGTTGGCGAGTCGCCGATCCCTAAAGCCTAAACCCTGAATCCTCAGCTAGTTCTGGACTGAAGGCCGGCATGAAGTGCACACGCCCGGAGCCGAATTTGTAGGCAAAGGTTCCGGAATACCGCAGAGTTTCAATCCATCGTCCACCCTAGCTACAACCCAAAAAGCTCGAACTATGGATCCGGGCATATTCATACATACAGAACTTTCGTTTTTACCGGGGCTTTAGGGGCTTTCGGGCTTCGGGAACACCAAAGGATCTACCAGGAAACATAAACCAACATTAACAAACGTGAAATGAACGAAACAACGCGTAGAAGCGTGCAAAAGTGCGGTTGCAAAAGCCATGACAGCAATTGAGAAAGCGATGAGGATATGAGCAGCAAGGAAGCATGGTCAAGAAAAGGCAGGACCAATCAGAAGCTCAATGACGTGCAGCAGTCTGGAGGCCTTCAAAGTCTTGCGGACCATGGCTCGCCAGGAGAAGGCCTGAAAATCTCAGCGGCTCTGGGGCAAGTATATACTAGGCTAGATTTTCCAGAACAGGTATGTAGATGTAGTCAAAAGACGCACACTCCAAGGCTGCCTTGGGGTGGGGCGGAGGGCTTTCGGAGTTTGCCTCATGCGCTCCAACAGGTCTTGGCCAGGCCACATACAGAAGCAGAAACAAAAAAGAACCAGCACCACCACGCCGGAGATCGGCATCCGAAAGACGAGCCCCCAAGCCCATCGAACTAGCTACAGTGAGGTTGCCAGAACGAGTACTAATCGTTCGAACCTACGAGTGGGTGCGGAACTGGCAAGGCAAACACTGAAAAACTGCCAGCGATGCGATGTAGTTAAAAACGCGGCCTTCATGTCATAAAATATGGCACGATCAATTCTGGTGGTACCACCATTGAGTCTGTTAATCCTGAACGGAAACAGAAACTATGAGCGCAGCTTCCTCGACTGGCGTAGCAATGAGGGCGATCACCTCTAAGGCCTGATTCACTCACGCACGCACAAAGATATGTGCATCCTTGTGTGCATATATATATATATATATATATATATTGACATAATCTGTATATGCACAGAGGTAAAAAGATATACATACATACATACATCCATGCATCCATGTATGCATGCATGCAGGCAGGCAGGCATGTGTGTATATATGTATGTTGTATGTCTGCTGTATGTATATTGTATGTCTGTTGTATGCGCGATGGATGCATGGATGCATGGATGGATGCATGGATGGATGGAAGGATGGATGGATGGATGAATGAATGGATGTTGCGTGCGATGATATATGCGTGTATGCATGTATGCGTATATGCATATTTGCATGTATGTATGTATATTATACGTATGTATGTACATGTGAATGCGTAAGTACATACATCCATACACAGATTTCTACATACCTACATGTACAAGCATCATACATACATACATACATACATACATACATACATATGTGCATACGTACATTGATTAATTACATGCTTACATACCGACAGACAGACACACAGGCAGACGAACAAACAGTCAGATGCACATACATACATGCATACATACTTACATGCTTGCTAACTTACACACTTTACCTTCCTACTGCTATGTGTGCATAACATACATATATATATATATATATATACACGCATATATGTATATGTACGTGTATATGTACGTGTATATATGTATATATATATATATATATATATGAACACCTGTACCTGTGAAACAGCACATTGTAAGGCCTGCAAGTAAACTTAAAGTAAACATGTGTCCGAACAGCATGTGAGTTGATTTCTTACGAACATCGCCCGCAATCAGTCTCACACAAAAGTTGGATAGGAAGTAGCAAGATCACTTCTGATCGAAAACGGAAGACCTGAAACAATGGCGGTGGTGAGGATGCAGGCGGTTATAACGAAAATGAATAACAACAACGACACATGTGATGAGATGGTGGTGATGATGATGATGATGCACGTGAATGAACAGAGATAGCCATCGCAATTTGCCGGCAGTGTGCATACAACTGGCGACACGCACAAAGGTGCAAATGTAGAAGCTCAGGCCTGGCGTGCTCGGATTTCGGGGCACTGGATGCAAAGACAACACAACCACTGAACGGCTAAGCGGAGGAGCCAAGCTCCCGATCCCCGATAGACCCGGCCGACCTCGGCTGGTCCACCATCGCCGCGTCTGGAAGCACGATTCCTTGCAAAGAAGATGGGACTTCGGCGGCTACAGGGATGAAATCATAATGATTATTACCATTGCTGCTAGGGAGCGTTCCACTCTTGACATCACTCCTCTTCGACATGTTACCACTGGAGTTTATCCAGCTGCTTCGTTGCTTCATGCTCCGAATGAAACTGCAAAATGTCCAAGACCAACATGCTCCTGGCGCTTCAACTCAGCGTATCTCAAGATCAGCACTGAGGCCACAATTCGGAAACCCGAGTCCGACCTAAGCCCGAAACACGATGCGATGTGCTCAGCTCTTGCCGGGGGTCGGAGCTGGGCATTCTACACCGGCCCAGGCAGGGGTGGTCAGGTGGAGGAGCATCTTCCTCTCGCTTGCTCGCACTGCTGTCGTGTAACTGGTGAACGGATCGCCGATGGTACTGAACGCAAGACATCATCACGACGGCTGCTGCTGCTGCTGTTGCTTCCCGCGTGGTTGGGCTTGAGGTGGACCACAAGACTACATGCTCGCTCTGCCAAGCTGGAGAGGCAGAACGACGGGACCAACCTGGCAAATAAGACGACATGCATGCATAGATACATACATACATGCATAAATTCATACACACACATACGCACACGTGCATATTGAGATGAAACACAAACCTGAACCCCTAACCCCGATGCCGCTCAAGCCCAACAGTCCTAAGATCTGCGCATTTACTCCATGATACCATGTCCGTGTGGGAACCTACATGCTCCCTAGGTCAATGCAAAGAGGAAGTGTGACAAGCTGCTATTCTATTCCGGTGTCTTCTCTAGTTAATCTTGAAATATCGGGTTTAGGCAACAGCAATCGCAGGCAGGGACTTGAATTCAGGAGCAACCAACACTTAATACGACAAATGAGATTCTCGTCCCAGCTTTTTGACGTGGGGTTTCGGGGACTTAAGCCCGCCGTGGTGTTGCCGGAGATAAAACTCTAAGCAATGACAGAACAAGAGGCTCTACAGACCCTCAAGCCCAGACCCTTCACCCTCAACTTTCCAACCTTACCCCATATGCCCTATCTGGGTAGTTGTCAAAATTAGGGTCCCTTTTTGGGTACCCTAAATCTTAGGTGCCGTATTATAATAAGGACCCAAAAAGGTACCATCATTTTGACAACCACCCATCTAGACCCAAAAGCCGGTATGGGACCGTAAAGCCGGTATGGAACCTTTCCGGAACCTCAAAGGTACCCTTCATGAACTCTATCTATAGTCTCCATTGTAGTTCCTTTTTGGGGTACCTTATAGGTTCCTAATTATATAATTGGTTAAACCAAAAAAAGGAACTACAATGGAGACTATAGGTACTACATAAAACCCTCAGAGGGCGCCTCACCAGGAACTGTCGCAAATCTGGCCGTCCCTCGGTGATGTGCAGGAGGAACGCATAGAAGTCCTCCACGGGAGCTTCTGTAATATTAGGGTTTAGGGGTCCTCTTTTTTTACGATGAGGCGCCCGTTTTTCTCTGTGCCTTGTATTTTCCAGGGTTTTCCCACCCGGACAGAGCAAAGGTTACTAGCAATACCAAGTCCACCGAACACTGCCAAAACCAAGGCAAGGCCTGTCATACTATCTAGTGGGCCATGAGGGGAGTATAATATCAAACAAGGTAATTTAAATTACTCATTCCTAAACCCTATAAACCCCTAAACCCCTATATGAACCTAAAAAAACCCTGAAACCCCTGTACTGTGCCATTCTCACGACTCGCCTCGTGCTCGCGAGGTGCCGAGGAGTTCCGACCCAGGACCACAGTCAGCAGCAAAGAGAAGCACCGAAAAGCCATGTGCAGCCATGGCGCAAGGTGACGGTTAGGGTCTAAGTTCAGGGTTTAGGAGTTGAGAGTTTCGGTCTTCGAAGGACCGTCTGTCCTTCAGGGAGGCTTCGATCTGATCTGCGCTGCACTATGCTGAGCCAGACCGTGATCCGGTTCCAGTTATAGCATATCTATAGGAAGCGTAGACGGCGTAGACAAAGTGTGGGCAGCAGGAAATTGACAACAGAGGTCTATTGCTAGCATGAACGTATGAAGAATGAGACCGTGGAACGTAACTAAAACTACTTGCGGCCACGGGGAGGGCTGGGAAGGGCACAGGACTAAGGGTGGGTCGGGTCAGGTCAGCATAGCGGCTGCGAAGTCGGCGGCATGCATCTCTTCCGAGCCAAACGATGAGAATCCTCAAGAAGTTGTTCCGTGATCTAGCTGCTGCTCCTACGAGGACGTCGTCGATATCACTGCCGGCAATGACTACGACGACTGCAGCTGTAGCACCAGCAGCAACAAGAACAGCAGCAGCAACAGCAACAGAAACAGCAAGGACAAGATCATATGTCCTCTTACTCCTCCTCCTTCTCCTCCTCGTCCTGCTCCTGCTACCGCTACCGCGACCGCCGCTGCGACTAGTACTACTGCTGCTGCCACCACAGAAACCACATCATGGCCAATGTGGTCGTAGTCATCAGAATCCAGCTTGTCGCCACGCCAACCGCTCTTCTCAGACTCGTCGTCATAATCATCGTAGCAGTGATCATAACCGCCAACAGTCATCACAATCTTCATCTTGTTAAAAATGTCGCCAGCATTGCCGCGAGCATAACTACAGTGGCACAAGCCACAGCTGCAAACTGCATCATGTTGTCCTCACTTCTAAACGGAAACATCGGCATATTCCCAGCGCCGGCCTAGAAACTTAGTGGCACCTCTTTTCTTCAAACGTCTCCTGCTCAGCTGCTGCGAATGAAGTCTCTCTGAGCCATCTGCTTCAACCTGGGTGACAGCTTGTGCTTCCGATTTCTTTCCTTAATTCGTACTCTTCCTAGTACTCTTCCCAGCACTACCACTACTACTCCTCCTACTCCTCCTCCAACTCCTCCAACTCCTCCTTCTCAGATTTCTCTAACTATATACTCCTGCTCCTGCTCCCGTACTCGTACTCGTACTGCTACTACTCCTGCTGCTACTACTGCTACTACTACTACTACTACTACTACTACTACTGCTACGACCTCTTCTCCTACTACTACTGCTACTTACTCCTACTGCGACGACGACTACTACTACTACTACTACTACTACTACTACTACTACTACTACTACTACTACTACTACTACTGTACTGCTACCACACTGGCCCTGGCACTATACTGCAACGATACTGAAACCCCAGCATCACAAAAATATCGCATAGAAATACAGGCGATATCAGTGTCACGGCGAGGGCCACTGCAAGCTGCTTCATGTCACCCCTTATGTGGGCTCACCTGGAGACCGATTCTCGAAACAATCTTCGGCTTACGACTGGGGCCAACGCAAATTCAAACATACAGCTGCAGTCCATGACACATCCGGACAGCCACCAGCCTTGGAGTTTCGGTAAGGCCCTTGCTCCAAATTATGGCACGCTGTAGATTGCACTTGCCTGTCGCGATGCAGAGAAAGTAGACTTGCTCTGTGCATCTAAGATCTCATGTCAGATGCCGTGCAGATGGGATGGACACTTCAAGGGAGTGGCGCAACGCCCGCGTCTGAACCCCCTCCCCCCCATGCAGATTCTACCATGCTCTGTCCGGAGCCACGGTTACATGCCTTCCAAAAACGGAGAACAAGAAGGGCAAAAGGACAGTCGATGGCCGATTGACACATAGTAGGCTGGCATACTCTGTCGGGCGACCGTACTACTAGTGGTGATGCCATCTGAAAGCAGTGCAGCTGCGGCCCGTTGCGCCTCGACGGGCTGGGAAGCGCAAGCAGAGCCGACTGTGCCGCTCTCCAAAGCTAGAGGCCAGCTCTTCTAGTGCAAACTGCATATCATTCCAAAAGACTAGACTAGGAATCGAGGCTTCTGGATGATTGATAGCTCCCAACCGCAAAACCAAATCGGCAGGCACCAGCCAGATTTCTATGAGACATGATCGTCCCCACAGGGGCAAGGAGGGCCCTTGGGCACTCCATCTGTGAGCCCCAGGGTGAGGGCGCGCCCTCTCTCGAACAACCTCTGTCCCTTTGCCTTCAAGGCATGCGGGAATTCCAATGACGCGGTGTAAACCTGGGTTTCTACAGTCCTAAAGCACGGAGATCTGCTGTCAAGTCCGATTTGCAGAGGGTTCAGAATTCGAGGAGGGCCTGCGCTTCCCGACAGTCACAGGGATTGGCGTGCGATGCAGTGCCAATGCGAGAAGCTGCCATGCACGAACCTCGCATGGTCCAGGCAAACAAGCTGCTGCTGCTGCTACTGCTGCTGCGCCTACCGCTCTGCTACTGCCACTGCCACTCCTCCTCGTCCTCCTGCCGCTACTGCTGCTGCTACTACTACGACGACTACTACTACCACTACTACAACGACTATTTCTCCTTCTACTTCAGCACTACTACAAGTACTCTGATAGAAACTAAGGAACATAGTCAAAGTCCACGCACTAGCTGCGAGGTTCAAGCGGATGCAGCAAGGCCCTTGGCAAATGGACGGAGGGCCGACTTGCGGCTCTGTTGCAGATTCTTCAGGTGCCTGGAGCACGGTTGCATCTGAGACATTCGGTGGTTGTCTGTATGTCTGTATATCTGCCCAGGTCGATGTGCACACGGGCGCACGCACAGAAATATCCATAGTTCAGCCATACATGCACACTTACATGCATTGCATAGAGCAATTGTCAGGTGGGGGCCGTAATGGAGGCAAAGCGCCCAGGAAAAGTATGTCAGGGGCTTGCACATCTACTGAGCCTTGCCTAAGACTGCGAATATGGGTCATGCTGTAGACTCCCGCTGGGCGGAGCCTACGCGGTGATCACCACAGGGCAAAGTCTAAGCTTCAGCCTGCTTCCACGTGGCGTGATACTGAGAGCTTATAAGGATACTGGCTTATCTTCCCTACTCGGCTTGAACCTTTCCAAAGCATTGGGTTGCTTATCATTATTATGTGCCGGACTCCATTGCTAGCGCACCAAGCCCAGGCGCCTCGCAAACGGTCGTGCTGCCACCCGAATGCCGAGGATCTTAGCACTCTGATGCCGGTGCCTCTGTTGACATCCGGCAGCCGCGCTGGAAGTCTGTCTGACGCTGACAGCTTTGCAGTGTCACAGTACATTCCATACCCTGTTTTGGCTGTTTCCGTACCACGGTGGTGGATCAAGAAGTAAGCGGAATTCTGTTGTGTTTCCAGCAAAGCTACGGCAAAAACTAATGCTACGGAGACGAACCTCCGAAACTGCCAAAGCCCCATTCACTCCCCCACTCCCCAACCCCTGTTCAAATGGATCAAAATCCTGAACCCAACATGAATGCTACGGGGACGAAGAGTGGCAGCGACATGCCATGAATCTTCCAGCACGCACTGGCTTCTGCAGCTTAGGAGTCGAAGGATGCGGTCTTACAAAGGGGAGACACACACATCCCGACTTCTCCTGGTACGTAGATTGCACTCGTGGGTTCGAGCATTACGCGATGTCTGGGGACGTCAGTTTAACAAACCACAAAAAAATCCGGATTCCAAAGTCTACAACACTGGACGGCTAGAGCCTAGCATAATGCCGCAGTCCCAAAGAGAAGCTACCTGGCTAACAGTTTGCAGCCATAGCGCAGACTACCTTCAAACCCTCGCCTCATATCAGCTACTAGAACCAAAGTCAGGAAAACTGACCGAGCTACATGTATACAAAAACCGGCAGACTGAAAGAACCCGCCGCTGCCACGATGCCTACTGCGGCCCAGGATCCAAGGCTACACAGCATGAACATGAATCACGAGGGTCTCCCCTTTGATTCTTATGCAGCAAGCTGCGAGAAGATGCCAGGCGACGGTGGCACATGCAGTGCTTGCATGGTCCGGGTTAGGATTCAGGAGTTCGGATTTAGGGGTTGCGGCTTCGACGCAGCTTCGAGTGATGTGGGTTTCAGGGGAATCGTAGAAGTCCAATCCCAGCGGTGCAGTGGAAAGAAACTCTGTCCAAACAGGGCAAAGCTTCTGTCACGCAAGGGTGGGAATATGGATCTGTGTGAGTTTCTGTGGCTTAGAGGCATGTCACTCTCTAGGTCCTATGCCAGTCAGAAATTCGAGAATTCGAGACGCCATTGGCACCGACCCGTTGCTATGAGATCGATGTGATCCAGACTGTCGCGTCTTCAGGCCGGACCCTTTTGAACTGCGTCGTCCTCATGAACGCCTTGACGCGGTGTTGTCCACAACGCAGTTATCGATGTTCGACCCAATCCAAAGACTCAGGCACCTCAACAACACAAATCCCATCCTGCACCCACAGGGCTATAGGCAGCGATTAATCTTTGCTGCACAGTCCAGTACAGGCATTTCAATACATAACCGACCTGGAAACCTGAAACCTGTATATCACTTGGCTTTGTAAGTACTACGGTTGAGCCCAGGTCTTAAGATTCAGCTCATGCCAGCTATGGGTTAGGATCGAAATAGTTTGACCTGCTCTCAAGGCTCTCGAACCCAAGCACCCAAGCTTCGAGAAAAACTCCGGCCCGTGCCTGAGCCACGACTCAGATCACACAATTGCTGATAGAATAGTTGATGGCGGCCACGCCAGGGCAACACTCCAACGGCCGTCTTCTGATTCCCGACCCTCAAAGTTAAAGCGTGGCAGCTTTCTCCAATCCTGTAGCTCCATTGCCTTCTTCCTGCAACACGAGCTACACGGCTACACGTCTTTGCTCCTAAAGCGGTACTATAGTGGGGCCCGGATGTCTCAACCCGTTCTCTGGCGCGGAGCTAGGGCCGGACTCGTTGCAGAGCTCTCTTTCTCGCAGTGAAAAACCTTTTCTTCAAGT